AAAATTTGTTCCAAAGAGCGTATGTGACACGCTTAAAATTTACCTTTCAATACCCCAGTGAGATTAAGCACTGCTAGCAGATTGAATTCCAATAACAGATTGTTTGCACCGGAATTGTTGCGCGAACTTGTCACTCAGCTGAAAATGGTCCACGCTTTGAAAGGATGAGCTTTTAGTGGAAGCGTGATCAAATTAAGGTCATTGCACATAATGCGTTTGGACGCTATTTCACAAAGACACGTGTCAGAGTTGGCTTACAAGGGTTTGGTTTAAGGCGTTTTTCTTGCACACTCTTTGAGGTCGTCCTGGATACAAGACAGCAGTTGAGACCGTGTGGATTAGCTGCAACTCTGAAATTGATCATATGTTTTCTTTGTTCGTTTGTTGTTTAACGCAATATTCCAGCTACATGGCGGCGGTCTGTAGATAATCGTGTCTGGAGCAAACAATCCAGTGATCAACATCATGAGCATCGATCTGCGCAATTGGGATACGATGACATATGTCGACCAAGTCAGCGAGAATGACCATCCGATCCCGTTAGTCGCCTCTTACGACAAGCATGGGTTACTGAAGATCAAGTCTAACCTGGATGTTCACTTTTGAAAGTCAGTTGATAGCGATGCTATGAAGTACACGTATCCTGCGAAACAGGGATGAGAGTTAGGATTTTGTTCTTGTGAATCGTTTGTTCGATACAATCTTTATATAATAAAAGCCACATATTTCACGAAAGCAAAATAATTGTTTACTTGACATGCTGGATTTCATGAAAGTGTTTTCCTCACAAAGATTTATGGATTCAAATTCTAAAATAGTCATCAATAAACAATAAGAGTTTTGTACTATAAAAAATATTGAAGTGGTTGGATTCTTGGGGCCGTTGAAGCAAGGTACACCAAAGTATTGTTGCTTAATATTTTGTGTTCAGTATACATAACTCCATAGTCCGGGAACGCATACCTGCCATCGAAGACAAGCGCTCCAGCTAGTTTTAACATGTATCGATTTTTCGTTCGTTGTCCCTTAGGGAATATGATTATCTTGACATGAGGACGATGTTTAAGATTAGAAATCACCTGCCAATTGCGAGTGGATTGGCTTCCGAAGGCGTTCGATCCGGATTGTTTTAACATTACAATTGCAAACCCATCAGTATTCTAATAATGGGGGGAAATCCTGAAATTCTACAGGAACAAGGCCTATTATAAGCAAGGATAACTAAGAGAGAAGGAATGGCGATACGGATGGCCCAGTCGCGTAAGGTGCCCTGATAAAATGTGTACAGTTACCTCCCTTAGTCGCGCCAAACATCTTGTAACGTCAGTTTGAATCCAGGTGTCCTATCTTTGATTGCTTGTGGCTTACAGTCCGTATCTTAAACAGTTGTAATGAAATTGGTATGTTAAATTTTGCTTGACAAATTTGCTAATAAATGTAACTTTGTATTTTATGAAGTTCTCGTAGGTGTAAAACCTGTTCTTGTTCCATATGGTTGAAATAACGCCGAGAAGATGTTAAATATTAACTCCCAATCTCGCGCACTGAATCTGCTCATTCTGTTAATGTGAATATACAGTGAGATTGAATTCGGCGATTTCATTGGCCTCTGTGAATTGATCACTGTTTTGTGATTTTCATGTTATCCGGCATTGGTAACTTTAACAACTGAAACCCCCCGAGCGTCCAATTCCATACCTTGTTTAACACCGTCATATGTACTCGTAATACGGCTCTGCAATGAAAACACATTTATGTTGTCTCCTAATGAAGGTATATGTGTCCTCTGTCGGTCACACATGAAGATAATGTAAGACGCAGCCACCAATGAAATCACCCATCTCCATTGGGTCTCGTGGACATCAGACTACGTCATTACATTAACACTTGCAGCACTTTAATCACGTTTGGTCACGTGGTGGGTAGTGAACTCCGATGGCCATGATTCACCTCGTCCACGGGGGGCATTTGTTTTGTTATATCGGTGAGACAATGGTTGACGGTTTGAGGATAGGCCCTGAATGGACTACAATCAGACTGGTGCATAATACATTATATTGGGATATAGTGTTCCAGATTGGCCTATAATTCGGTTGATTGTTGCATAATTCTTCGAATAGGGGTATAGTGCGTAAGGGTGGAGTATTATACGTTAGATTAAGGGATGCTTAATTAGATTGATAATGATACTTGTATGTAAAGCACGCAGGGTGAACGAATTATACAAATTGAGGGGAATGTCCCAGATTTAAGGTAAACATGTCAGATTAACGAATTATACAGTCGAAGTAAACTTGGGCTCAGTATTATTCGTTACACTGCTATACTGAGTCTAACAAACCCTAGCAGAAGGTCGCGTCAGCTAACCTTTGAGTGACCTTTGACCGTCCACTCAAACGCGAGACGGCCGAACGGATTTAACCAACCAGACAACGACTACTTGTTAGGGTTCAGCGGGACTTACAAAACGGTTTTTGGATCTTCCCTGGTCGCTGACACTGATCTATCAACAAACGAAAATCCCCATAAAACACAGATATTTGGCCTGCAGTATATACGCTTAGGGGTTTGTAATGACATGGTTACTATTAGCTTATATTTCCGCAAGATGGCATCCTTCAATATTAACAAAAACGCTATTTTCGGCGACTGTTTACTCATTGCGTGTATCACTCGGAAGCGATCGTGCGGAAAATAGCATTCGGAATCGTTCAAGTTTTTTAGGTAAAGGTTCAAACGGTATGTGCGACTGTTAATTTTCGCGATTTGGTAAGCTGTGTTCTGATTGGTTAGCTGACGCGACCTTCTACTATGTTTTGTTAGAATCAGTGTAGCAGTGTAACGAATAATACTGAGCCTAAGTTTACTTAGACTGACGAATTATACAAATTGAGTGTAATGTCCCAGATTTAAAGTACACATGTCAGATTAGCGAATTATACAAAATGGAGTGTAATACGTCAGATGTTAGGTAACGCACGTTTGATTAGCGAATAGTGCAAATTGATTGTAATGTGTCCTATTTAAGGTAAAACATGTTATATTAATTAATACTACAAATTGAGTCTAATACGTCAAATAACCTTTAAGGTGTAACATATCAGATAAAAGAATTATACACGCTGAGTGTATTATTCCCGACTTGAGGTAAAAACGACGGGATCCAATGGACAGGAAGGTTCGCTGACTTGGTTAATGCGGGTCATCGTGTCCTATGGTTTAGATGCTCATGATGTCAATCACTGGATAATCTGATCCAGATGCGATTATTTTCAGCCGACATACAGCTGGACTATTACTGAGTAGAGCTTTGATCAACAAACAAACAAAAAACATAGAGTCGCGTGATCCATAACGTTTTCTGGCAGTATGTGTGACTTCCAACTTTTAGCACTGTCGTGCTTGAACGGAGGTTTTGTAACCATGAGTCAGAAACAGTATCCGTAAAATGTACAATACATATTTTGCGGAAATAAAAACCTGGAAATTTTGGTTGTTTTATAAATCAGAATTGACATTTAAACCCAAAGGCGTTTTACCCTGTGATAACTCAATCACGGCGATTCTCATTGTGTGATGCCAACGTCAGATTGGTCTAATTAACAGAGCGTGCTTCTCTGAGTTCTAACACTTTCCTGTAACTATCCCTGCAGCGATTCCGACACAGGACAGTTCCCCATTACCCCATGCTAGCTATAATAGGTAGTTAAAGTAGGGATGAGGATTGGCTTTGGGATAAACCTTTGATGAATGGACTCCCTGGGAAGACATGTTGTCGGAACGTGACCTTGATCGTTGTCTCACGCTGCCGGAAGCGGTACCCTTCACACGGTCATCCACGTGCTCTAATGATCCTTCTGGGCCGTGAAGAATCGGGTTAGAATTGGTCTTCATCAACCCACGCTTGTTGTAAGAGACTAACGGGATCGGGTGGTCAGGATCGCTGACTTGGTTAATGTGTGTCATCGTATCGTATTTCTTAGAGCAATGCTCATGCTGTCAATCACTGGGTTGTCTGATCTACATTCTATTATTTACAGGCGGCCAGCGCATAGCTGGCAAATTGCTGAACAACAAACCACTACTGATCTTTCTACATACCTGGTCAATTTGTGGGAAGTCGTGACATATTCATAATATTCCATGATATTCTGTGCACAAATATCACAGAACACATTTTTTAATACCGCATCGAAAATAACCTTTGGTCGCGATGGCTTCAAGATAACAGTAAGCGACAAATTGTATCCTATCAAATATGACACCCATACAATTATTACATTTTTGTTCCTTTATTTATGCAACTATCTTTATGCATTGATAACTTTGTTTACAAATTACAAAACCGTGAAGATCCGGGTTAGAATTGATCTTCACTAACCAATGCTTGTCGTAAGAGGCGACTAACGGGATCAGGTGGTCAGGCTCGCTGACTTGGTTGGCACATGTCATTGTATCCCAATTGCGTAGATTGAAGCTCATGATGTTAATCACTAAATGTTCTGGTCCAGACTCGATTATTATCATGATATGCTGGAATATTGCTGAGTGCAGCGGTAAACAACAAATCAACCAATAAATTACGATCGAGTTCGGATGCGTGGGGTGACGTAATGGTGAAAGCATTCAATCATCACACCCAAAGCCTTATTAGATTTCAAGCTGCCTAAACATCACACCCCATCCCCCACCCACCCCCACAAAGCCATTTGTTCTCAACCAAACCGTTCATCGTTGTTTTTATGGTTTTCAACCTACTTGAAATGTTCAAAGCGAGAGCTGAAAAATACACATCTGTTTCGCAACCGCCATTTTTGTGTTGTTCCTCAAGGGAGACAACTCTGATGACAAGTGCCAACCTTCAAACCTTTGGTTGTCGTTTGATTGATACCATTTTATACGAAATTAAACTTTCAAAGCCGAGGCCGTTTTTAGGTTCATCCGCTTTGTATTTAAAATTTATTTAAGACTTATACTTAATCCTCTTTCTGTCATTGCAGGTATTAAAGGCAGCTAGCCCCGTGCTCTTGAGAATTATTCTGCTCGGTGCATTTTTTTTTTGTACTGTCCGGTAAGTATGCTCGGTTGACATTTTCAGTTAAAACCAAAACAATCTGTTGGTCTTTTGTTTTTGATTAACGGGATCGGGTGGTCAGGCTTGGTTGACACATGTCATCGCATCCCAATTGCGTAGATCGATGTTTTTGCTGTTGATCACTGGATGGTCTGGTCCGGAATCGATTATTTACAGACCACCGTCACATAGCTGGAATATGGCTGAGTACGGCGTTAAACAACAACCAACCAACAAACTGTCGGCGTATCGGCGTATGGCTCCGAATCCCAGGGGTCTTTACTCTGTATAAATATACAGAAAACGTTACCGTTATTTATGCAGTGTTGCCCTTAATGCCTCATTGAACGTTCACATCGTGATATAATTGAAATTTCGTTCAATGTTTTTAAACTCAAAATAATTCACGCACCCACTCATCACTTCTTCTAAGACAAATTCAGTCATGTAGTGCCAATCATGGAATCCCCTCTGTGTTTAACAGCTGCTCAAGTATATTTATTTGAGTGATTTACATTAAACATCTGCAAACGGACACGATTAAGTCCATAGAGGTTACCTGGAACCAGGAATGGTAATCAAATTAAGTTGTGGAATTTGAAACCGGAAGCATTCAAACATATCATACGGGGATGATTAAAATTCCCCGAGGGATTATATTTATGCAAATTAACTTTACAAACACGCGAAAATTGATACCTCTGTGTTAACGTTAGTGAAACCCAATAAATGATGAAAGCGGTTTCTCTAATTAAGTAATAGAATTTCATGAATTATTTAGGGGAATATTAATGTATTTTATTCACTGAAGGAATTTAATTTTTTAAACTGAAATTTTGAACTGACTGTACTTAATGATATGATTTAAACTTCACAAATGGTCAGAATACTCACTACAATATAATCAGGATGGAAAATTACCAAGGACAACGAAGGAATGGTATTAATATTGAGCAAAGTGCTTAACCCGTCTCCAGTCCGCTGTTCCGGGTTCGATTCCCTACAGGGCCCTAAAGAGTATATTGCGGTGGCCTCGCAGTGAAAGTCACACGCTACAGTCAGTGCACATATTCCCTCAGTATTGGAGTTACGTCCCTTAGGCCTGCCAGGAACCTATTCTAGTTGGTTCGAATCCCAGATTCTGGGTTTGTCTACACGATGCATTTGATAGAGGTTTCAACAAATAAGTAAACGTCTAATACCTGCATAAACATTTGGAATTCCTCCTTGATACATGGGCGGTAGCCGAGTGGTTAAAGCGTTCGCTCGTCACGCTAAAGACCTAGGTTCGATTCCCAACATGGGTACAATGTATGAAGCCCATTTCTGGTGTCCCCCGCAGCGATATTGCTGGAATATTGCTAAAAGCGGCGTAAAAAAACTTACTCACTCACTCCTTAATACAGCGGACTGATGTAACGGAATCACTATTCAAAGCGACCTTAAATTAATTCATCCAATGAGTACTGGATACCTAATAAGTATCCAGACAAATCTACACAAACAGTCATTTTAGGTCTCAGGAAAATTAAAGTCGGTATTAGCGTAAGGTAATATACTGGACAAAATAAGTTAGGGATATTGGTATTGTTATGATTGATATTTTATCAGTGTGCGAGGAATAAATAGAGCATTATTTATGTTTTCAAAATCTACATATATCCCTAACTATTTTTGTCCAGTATATTATAACTCAAAGTTAACATACTTTGCTATAATCTCAAAATGTACAGCAACAAGCATTCAAGTTCATATCCGTGAGTATCGTTTAATTTTATCAAAATAGATTTTCAAACGAAACAATTACCAATCATTATCAGTTACCCTGCCCTTACATCTGTTACATCTGTTACAAGATCTTAATTGTGTTCTTTTTTGTTACAGCTGGTCGTGGGTTATTTTGAAGCTAGCGTTGTGACGTGCTGTTTGCGATTCTGGTTTCGTGAAATTGGATTTTCGATATCATACGGAGCATTATTATTAAAAACGTGGAGGTGAGTAATTGGTCTTCTCTGTTGTTACGTGTTGTGTTTGAAAATTTAATTATTCCATTAATTTTGGTTCATATAGGACGTGCTTACAAAGTAATTCTTTTTCGATCAAACATGAAAAATACCATAATGTTCGTACCGGAACCTTCGGGCTGAAAAGGCAAACATGAATTTTCTCTAATTATATTTTTATTATCATGTTCAGTATACACATAGGGATAAACGAAATTAGGTTTGTAAACTTTTTTTCATCAAACTTTGATGATGCAGTCGTTTTGAAAATCCTTCTTTTAAGAATAATTGATTAAACATTTATATACTCATGTCAATAATGGTTGTCCCCCCCCACCCACCCCAACCACCCACACACCCTCTCCAATTAATAAAATTGAAGGGGTGACAACCATTATTGGCATGAGTATATTTTATTTAAACTGCCCTTGCAAATTTGTGGGTTTTTTAACAACTAAGAACACAAAGTTTCATGATTGGTTGTCTGAAAGTGGGGTCACTTGATGAATCTATTACAGCGAGCGCTAAAGAAAGGTGAAAGACATCCGGGGTTAGAGGTTGTAGTTATGACATTAACGTGAACTAGGTCTTTTCTATCCTTGATAATCTCCATGGTATACGTGCCGATAAATATCCACTATACCCTCGATGCATCCACGGTTCGAGTCGATGATTTTATTACCGTCCCTATTTATGTAAAAACTGAGGTCAAATAATTCGATTCTCTTTGATATGGTTTCGGTGATGCACTAACCATCTTGGGATGTTGCATTGGTATCATGGTGATGCTGGTCAAGTTGCACAGATGCAATTAACTCGCGGGTCATGTGTCAGGATACCTTTTAATCCATTAGGAATCTATGTGTGACTATATCGATTTAATGAAAAAGTCACTTAGCTGGTTATTAACTTGAAGTGTGTAATTCAAATAAATATTTTTCACTTCACTGAACATATACGATAATCTTGGCCGAGACACCATTAACACTCGAGAAAACAGACACAAAATGGAAACGATATTATGACTCTATGCTTGAGGCTGTGAGAGGGTGAAATGTACTCAGTTTATTTGTTATTAAATCGGATTCCTTAGACCGGGATAATAGAACGGTTTCACGCACATTAGGACATAAATGAGAAAGATTTTCCACGTCTTAATTTCCTTAGACTAGTACATTGTTTTTCTTGCCAGCTTCTGTGAACATTACTTAAAATGCTTTCATCTTTCTCTGAGACAATTCAAACAAGCAGTGAACCAGTATAGGCCGATCGATGCTTTTAGGTCTTTGTCTGGGAATAAATCCGGGTTTTATGTTCGTTCCATACACAAATGCGATGTCCGCATTTTAAGAGAGTTGTCTTTCTTTGCATGAAGTATGCCGCCATTGTTGGTAACGAAATTGTGAATAGGTTTCTGTCTATTGAGAAAAAGCCGAATTGGTAAACTCTGTTTTGATGGTCGTTTTGGGGAAAGACTTGTGATGAAAATAATTTTGCATGGTATCATGACATGCAAACATACGATGATATTTTGTTTATTTATTTTTGGGAAGTTGTTTAGTTTAGTTTCAATAGAAGAATATTATTGTCTCGCATCGAGTGACATTAAGGGCAAAATTCAACAGAACTTCTTCAGTTATGTCTGACCATTGTGTCGGGTTACGAGTGAGACATAAAACCACTCTAAATAAATCCCCCAAACTTGTTATAAGCCAGGAAAGTTACTTGCACCATTAAACACTTACTGCCATCAATATCATCCGCTGCAATGTCACATTGACCCATCGGGACCCTGATCTGAACCAGCGACATGTGAAGTTTGTATACAGCTATTCCGGAGCGTTTGCAACTGCCTTAACCTCATCAGGAAGTCGTCCGCCCTCTCAGCCTGTTCACGTCCATCCCTAGCCAGTGATCAGTTATGGCCGTCCTGTGACATAAACCATCCGCTCAGAATAAGTGCCTCTGCCGAAACTGTCAATTCGGAACCACAAAAACAGAAGAAATGTTAAAACCTCTCGTTCTAGAAATATCTTGAGTCGTTTAATGGTGCCTGACATTCCTCTCTGAAAGCAACGTTTTGCGGATAAGGAACACTAACGGCTTTTTCCACGTAGTTTGGGTAAATTGAGATCTTTGAAGACGTTTTTTCCCTGCAATGCTTACAAGATATAAATGTTTGACTTGATAAGGAAGACGTATCTTTTTTCGGTGTTAATTCTGTATTTCATCTTTTATCTTTGACGTTGTAAAAAGTAAAGGTCGTACAACTGGCCCCTGAAGAGTGTAATGAAAATCAAAAATACTCCTGCTATGAGCATCATCGGGTCCACTTGAAAGTCGGATCTTTGCGTGAACAAGTAAAGTGCATTTATCACTGATGAAAGGTTGACTGCCAGACAGCTGAATGTCGTATATGCACAGACAGTTAGAACTGAAGGAAAGAACTAATGCTTTGGGGAAGAACCACGTTTATGATGGTGTGCATTAAGTCAGGATTTGGTTGGTTTGTTGTTTAACGCCGCACTCAGCAATATTCCAGCTGTATGGCGGCAGTCTGTAAATAATCGAATGTGGACCAGACAATCCAGTGATCAACAGCATGAGCATCGATTTACGCAAATTGGGTACGATGACACGTGTCAACCAAGTCAGCGAGCCTCACCGGCCGATCCCATAAGTCGCCTCTTAAGACAAGCATGGGTTGATGAAGGCCAATTCTAACCCGGATCTTCACGGGAGCAACTACTGGATAGCACGCTCTGAGAGCAAAAGGTCGGTTGTTCGAACCCCGTCAGCGTCAGATCAGAAGACGTTAACATGTGGTACGAGTTGTTTTCCCTCAAGCTTGGCATTCAGGCGATGAATGATTGCAGTCCGCTTTCTGTATCCAAACTGGCAACCTGTTTTTTGGTTGGTTTTTTTTGCATTGGTATCTTTTTTATCAAATCGGGAAATTAATTTCAACAGCGGCGGGAAAAATGGAGATAAGTATGATTGTTTTTTGTTTTTTTATTTCTCGTCGGAATGAAAGTTCCGGGCGATGAAAAGTTTTGAACAGAAAAAAATGGATGGCCCAATCCTGACTGGGGGTAAGGAGAGGGGACACAGTTGTCTACAGCGACACTTTTCCAGACCAACGCAGACGATTGGTATAACATGGCCATTTTTACCGAAATTTTGGTTGTGTCGTCCGTCTTCTTTAATATGGCTTTTGACCGATGATATATTATTGTAACAGCCCGCTTGGTGGTTCTCCCCAAATCCACTAATACAAGCCATCCAGAGCAAAACAGTCAGTCTTGCTTCTCTAACCCCTAAACACGAGCACATCACTCCCATCCTGACTCATCTTCTTTGGCTTTCTGTACAACGGAACGGAATTAACCTCCTCTGCTCTGCCGATAGATGCCATTCACTAACAGCTCCGCCATTTGTTAGAGCTTCTCCAATCTTACATTTCATCCAGATCGCTTCGTTCAGAGCCCCAGCATCTGTTCTTGTACCAGTGACGCTTATTAGGTATGGATGCAGACGCTTCTCCTTCTCAGCATCGTGTCACCAGTCTTCCCTTGAACTCAGTATTTCTCCAACCTATTCCACCTTTAGAACTACCGCCTCCGTGGTGTAGTGGTTAGAACGTCCGCCCGGAGAGCGGAAGGTTGCGGGTTCGATCCCCGACCGCGTCATACCAAAAGACGTTAAAATATGGTACTTGTTGGTCACTGCCTGGCGCTCGGCATTAATGGGTACAACAAGGACTGGTCGGCTCGGAGTCAGTATAATGTGTCTGAGTGGGGTATTAATGCTTCACTGCGGCATGGTATCTCAGTGGGCTAGCACTATAAAACCAGCTTAAGTCTGGGCTAGTACAAGCAGCCGCACATACACATACACACGCATGCACGTCGTCATATGAGCGAAATATTCTCAAGCACGACGTTAAACCCAATTTCTCCTCACCTCACCTTTAGAACTGCTCTCAAGAACTATCTCTTCTTCCACCTGAACTCTGTTCTTCTCTAATAGAAGCGACAAAACCCTTTCCTACATGCATGAGAAATCTCTGCTAAAACTAGTGTCGATTGTACAATTGTGAGTATACACTTGTTTCAGCAGTATTACAGGTGAACGATGTTGTTAGTATACAAATCGAGTCTGGACCAGACAATCCAGTGATTGTCACCATACGATACGATGACATAACAGGTGTTTATGAATCGCTATGAAATAGTGATGATACCAGATGTTCGCGAAAAGGTGAGCGTATCCTGTCCCACAGATGCACCCGTCATAAACATATGCTAAGTCTAGTCATTTGTTCACCTGAAATAATTCGGGAACGTATGGTATAAGTCAAAATAGGGACTTGCATCGGACTTCATTTTTGTCACTGATGCATCAAATTTGGAAATCTAATGGACCTTTAGAAATAATTTCAAGAATTATATCTTCCATCAAGCTTTCGAATGAACTTTTCTTCCTGGCTGCGCTTTGGGGCATGATACACGGAAAAGCGCAAAACTAATTGAATATTATTATCATTTGCTCAAGACAGTGAGATAGCTTGCTAGGAAACAATGATCGCAGGTTAGTATCCTGATCATGTTTCTCTATGTGGCAGCGCCATAATCGTGCTCGAGGTTGGTAAATCTGTAACAAAGCCTTTTTCATCAATGGGATCCAAACACTCCGGCTTCGATGACAGAAGTGCCTGGAAGTTGGTTGGGATTTTGTTGCAGAAACTTCCAACCAGTTTTAAATAGGTTCGACCCGTGACGATCCGGGTTAGAATTGATTTTCAGTAACCCATGCTTGTGTGTCAGAGGCGACTAACGGGATAGGGCGGTCAGGTTCGATGACTTGGTTGACACATGTCATCGGCTCCCATAGACCGTAGACCGATGCTCATGCAAAACTGGATTGTCTGGTCCAGACTCGATTATTTACAGACCGCCGCCACAAAGCTGGAATATTGCGGCGTAGTGCGGCGTAAAACTAAACTCACTCACTCACTCAATATAAATAGGTTCAGGGTCACTATCAAACTGAAATTCAGGAGCCTATGATTTGAGGATTGGGTGGTCAGGCTCGCAAACGTGGTTGATGAATGTGATCGTATCCCATGTTAATGATAACGATCACTGGATTGTCTGGTCTGGACTCGATTACATGTATTTCCATATGGTCATATGGCTGGAAATTTGCCGAGTGCGGCGTTATACAACAAACAAACGGAAAACTCTAGGATCAGAACTTGTCAACCACCCGACGGAACTGGTGCGATAAACGCCTTACGATGAACAAACACTGTAATCAATGCGTGTTGCCATGAAACCGTTACAACACAAAGCGAAGTCGAAAGAAAACGTTAAAAGAAAAACAACCCTGACAATGAATTGGTTTAAACCAGATACATTTTTACAGCCCTATGACTCCGATTCCCACATCAATGCATGATCTTCAAACAAATGCCAAAAGGGCGATAATTGCACGGCATGCGCCACCTGGGCCCAAGAAGCGCTGACGATAAAACTGAAATGAAATCTCCCGAATCCAAACCTACATGCACCCTCTTCCTTACAGAGATCAAGTCGTGTAGTTTCATAAACGTAACATGCCCGTCTGGGATAAACATCGATAAGCATGTTTTCTTTTCATTATTGCTGGCGACTGCGGGCTGACAATTGTTAAACGTGAACAATAACAAACTTTCCTATTTTGCGTAAACCAGTCGTAAAAATTCTTTTCCCAATTCCGTTTTCCAATTTCATGGCGAGAAAACACGCGTTTTTGCAATCTGAGTGAATTTTCGTTACTGACTCGTTGCGACATGCAGAAAAATAACAATAATTGCTTGCAGCTTGCGTTTCAGAGGGAGGACAGTAAAACTACATTGGGAAATGATCCAACCTGTTCTGTAACGATTATTCTTAAGTAAATCGACCCCTTTAACCTTAAAACGTTTTCCAAGAGCTTTTTCAACAATGATAACTATCTCGCATATTTAATTTCCATCTCATTCGTCTATTTCAAGAGCGATGCCAAGTGCTCTTAAAACAGAGCAACGGCGACCTTCATGAAATAGATGTAATTATTATAATAGCTTTGGTGATTTCGGTTGGAGTTGTTCCCATCGTACTAAACACACATAGTGTCCTGGGTCTCTTGTTTCGGAGTAATATGGACACGTTGAAGGGTCTCCAGTGGTGATTGATGCTGCAGAAGATGAAATGGGGTCAGCACTCGAGCAGGGCAAATGCTTGACCCCCGATTGGTCAGCATCCACGCGAACATGTATAAATTGGAATTCATGCATACGCATTACTGCAGTAATAGTTCTTTTATTCATAGATATAGCTTTATTCCGTTTGTTTCACCTTCATGTTGAAAGCCATTAAGCGGAGGCAATTAAGCTCGTAGTCGTAGCCCTTTTCTTCATTATTTCTAGTGGTCCGAGTCCTTGTTGGACCAGTTGTGTCCCTTTATTGAATAAAAGGTTTTGCATTTGTTTACCGTCATTGTTGCGTTCTATACGTATCCCATTCCGGAAACCTTCCGAGGTGTGGTAGGGTCGGAATAGCCACTCACAAACTCCTTAAGTTTTTAGAGAGCGGTGATAGTTGAACGACAGAAACAGAAACGTCCCAAAATAACCTCCGCAGATTTCCATACTCGTTCTCAAGCGTTTTACCAACGTGTGTCACTTTCGGTCTTTCCCCCACATGAACCTGTCTTAACGTGATGTACCATCATATATTTTAGTAAGATCGATGTAATGTTTGATCCGTCACAAATTAGAGCCCTGAGTACATTACCGATCTTACCCGTGAGGAGATCGTAACGCTCATAAATTCGACATAGACTTACGATAGTCGTAACGCTAAGATCCCTTTGTGGAACAGGGTGCTTGGCTCCGTTTGAGAAAATGATGGGCGGTTAAAGCATGGGAGCTGCGATCGCCTTAGCCACTGGGCCCCGTTCCTCAAAGCGATCGTAACCCTAAGATGATCGTAACTCCCATACTTTAACATAGACTTACGACAGTCGTAGCGCTACGATCGCTTTGAGGAACAGGGCCCAGGGTGCCGTTGAACACCGCAACCTTAGCGGCAGTCGTAAGTCGATGTTAATTAATGGGCGCTACGATCGCTTTGCACAATGGCACCCAGGTCGCTTTGTGAGCCAGGGTGCCGTTGTACGAAACATCCTTAGCGCTAAGACTACCTTATAAGTATATGTTAAGGTAAAAGAGTTACGGTCACCTTAGCGCTACGATCGTTTTGTACAATGGCACCCGGGTCGCTTTGTGAGCCAGGGTGCCGTTGTACAAAACACCCTTAGCGCTAAGACTACCTTATAAGTCTATGTTAAGGTATAAGAGTTACGGTCACCTTAGCGCTACGATCGTTTTGAACAATGGCACCCAGGTCGCTTTGTGAGCCAGGGTGCCGTTGAACAAAACACCCTTAGCGCTAAGACTACCTTATAAGTCTATGTTAAGGTATAAGAGTTACGATCACCTTAGCACTAGGATCGCTTTGTACAACGGTACCCGCTTGGACAATGCACAAAGCGCTACAATGATCGTAACTCCCACAGTCCAATAGAGACTTAAGATAACGTGGCGCTAAGCTCTGTGCAAATGGCACAGGTCCGCAAAGCTAGTGGTTGACAGTGTGATTACATTTAGCAGCGTGTCCAGCGTACGTACGTACGTATGTACGCTACTAGTACGAATTCGAACTCATAGAGATAAGTGCACATGTAGTTACTGTACGTAAAGCGTCATTAGACTTGTTCCAGATATTTCATGGTTCTGTTTCAAGTGGGGAGGGCTACAGATTCGTGATTCATTCCACAAATCGATCTCAGCAGTACGGCTATCGTAATTCCGTGTTAAAGTATTGGAGTTACGACTGGTAACGCTACGATCGCTTTGTGGACTTCGGAATTACTTATGGACTTCTCGCACGTCAAACTGATTTGCCGTGATGAAATTGAAAAGTTGTTCAAACCAGCGTTAAACCTAACTAACTCACTCTCTGTTTCAGGATATCAGTTGTATTCCGAGTGAGGTCAGCGGCGCGCATCAAGATCTCCGACGGTGATCTCATCAAGCGCCTCATTGTCATTGTGCTGGTGTTCGCTGCTTACCTAACAGCCAGGACTGTGGCGGGCATGCCTAGAGTGGTGCAAGGTGAGTAATGTCGGAACAGGAGTGGAACTGTCTGATACATGTTACATCGGGAGGTGTTCGATACAATGAAAAGCGTGGTTTAAACATTGGGATGTGTTCGATACAATCAAACGCGTGGTTTATACATTGGGATGTGTTCGATAGAATGAAAAGCGTGGTTTATACATTGGGATGTGTTCGATGCAATGAAAAGCGTGGTTTATACACCGGGATGTGTTCGATGCAATGAGAAGCGTAGTTTATACATTGGGATGGGATACAATGAGAAGTGTTGTTTATACATTGGGATGTGTGTTCGTGGTTTATACCTTGGGATACAATGAGAAGCGTTGTTTATACATTGGGATGTGTTCAATGCAAAAGCAATGATACAATGAAGCGTGGTTTATACATTGGGATGTGTTCAATGAAAAACGTTGCAATGAGAAGCGTGGTTTATACATCATTGGGAGGATGTGTTCATTGGGATGCAATGAGAAGCGTGGTTTATACATTGGGATGTGTTCGATGCAATGAGAAGCGTGGTTTATACATTGGGATGTGTTCAAAGCAATGAGAAGCGTGGTTTATACATTGGGATGTGTTCAATGCAATGAGAAGCGTGGTTTATACATTGGGATGTGTTCAATGCAATGAGAAGCGTGGTTTATACATGGGATGTGTTCAATGCAATGAGAAGCGTGGTTTATACATTGGGATGTGTTCGATAGAATGACAGCGTGGGATTGGGTGTGTTCGATACAATGAGATGCATGGTTTATATTCTGAAAAATGTTTAACTCAATGAGAAGCGATGTTTATACACTGAGACGTGTTTGATACAACGTGAAGCATGTTCTATAGATTGAAAAGCGTGTTCTATGCATTGAGAAGCGTGTTCTAGGCATTGAGACATGTTTAATACAATGAGAAGCGTGGTTTATACATTGGGATGCGTGATCCATACAATGTGAAAAGTTGTTATGCACTGAGACGCGTGTTCTATACAATGTAAAGCGTGGTTATGCATTGAGACACGTGTTCTATACAATGTGAAGCGAGGTTATACATTCAGACGCGTGTTCTATACAATGTGAAGGGTGGTTATACATTGAGACACGTGTTCAATACAATGTGAAGGGTGGTTATACATTGAGACACGTGTTCAATACAATGTGAAGCGTGCATATATACATTGACACATGTGTTCTATACAATGTGAAGCGTGGTTATACATTGAGACACGTGTTCAATACAATGTGAAGCGTGCATATATACATTGAGATGCGTGTTCTATACAATGTGAAGCGTACATATATTCATTGAGACGCGTGTTCTATTCAATGTGAAGCTAGGTTGTACATCAATGCGCGTGTTCTATACAATGTGAAGCTGGGTTGTACATCAAGACGCGTGTTCTATACAATGTGAAGCGTGCATATATACATTGAGACGCGTGTACTATACAATGTGAAGCTGGGTTGTACATTAAGACGCGTGTTTTATACAATGTGAAGAGTGCATATTATATACATTGAGACGCGTGTTCAATACAATGTGAAACGTGGTTATACAATGAGACGCGTGTTCAATACAATGTGAAGCGTGCAAATATACATTGAGACGCGTGTTCTATACAATGTGAAGCGTGCATATATACATTGAGACGCGTGTTCTATACAATGTGAAGCGTGCAAATATACATTGAGACGCGTGTTCTATTCAATGTGAAGCGTGGTTATACATTGAGACGCGTGTTCTATACAATGTGAAGCGTGCAAATATACATTGAGACGCGTGTTCTATTCAATGTGAAACGTGGTTATACATTGAGACGCGTGATCTATACAATGTGAAGCGTGCAAATATACATTGAGACGCGTGTTCTATACAATGTGAAGCGTGCATATATACATTGAGATGCGTGTTCTGTACAATGTGCAGCGTGGTTATACATTGAAACAGCTCAAAACAATGAGATACGAGGATGATTTGACGCGTTGTCAAGCCGACATGCAGTTTCATACTTCTTTCCAGCCCTTGACATCCCCGCAACACCTGCACTGTCACTGACATGGAATCGGCCATCTTGAATATTTTCTTTCAACCCAAAACATAGTTCTCTTCGTTTACGTGTTTAATCAGTAATTCCAAGATTGGAAACAGGAAAGCACTCGTATTCTCAGGTTCCCTTTTATATTCTCGCTATAATGATTACATGCAGTTGACATGGAATGGAATTGTAAACAAAACAAGGATGGAGGAGTTCAACTGCAGGAATGGCTGGCTGTAGAGATCGCAGCACGCTGAAGAACTGGGAGCAGACGAAGCACGATCTCGAAAGACCTGGATTCAACTGAGGTGTCCATTGTCCAGGGTCCGACCAATGGACCGGCATTCGCTGTGCTGAGTTGGGCCGGCAGGGCTCGCCAGAAACATATGGCAGTTTCTTCTCTGCCAATGTATGTAGGGTTTTTTATCAGAATACTCGTGGTTTCACCAATCTGATAGTCGTCTGAGACAGATTGTTCTCGCACTTAAAGATGGTAAGTGGTAATATAACTGGAATCCTGTGCAATGTCTGTTAAACCAAATCTCTCTGTCTTTCGCTATCTTTCTCTCTCTCCGGTGGTGTTTTTCCTACAAGAATGAATATTTCCTGAATGACGACGATGAAACCCTCTAATGGCACCACTTGCTCATTAACACCAAATACTCGGAAGGATGCTCAGAAAACCTCTGACGAAATAATGACGTATCTGGGAAAAGATTATTGATCTTTATTGTTTATATTTTTCTATTATCTGAAGCATTAGGCTTGGCGTGTTTATGCAACTATACCCAAATTCCTCCGGAAAAACGGTAACTAGCATTATTGCTACAAATCGTTTCTTATTTTCATCTCAAATGACGACTGCATACAAACTGATTGCCTATGGCATTCCTTACGTTATAATTGCCAAATACACGAAGTGTCAAGCCAGCTACACGATGTACAAGCGCAATGCGGTCGATAGACGTATATCTTCCGTGTGCCATGTAAGTAGCGAGAAGTATGGCAATCTTGATTCAGACTGGATCGTGCTTCAAACATGAAACGTAGAAGAAACGTCTGTTTTTGTATTCGTTTCGTTACACGCAAGATTTAATTTGGAGTATAAGATGACTTATCACTTTAAAGGCACTGTATCACACCACACTTCAATTCTCTAAAAATAAATAGTGCATTTCTCTCAATAATACTAACTATCAGCCCTCGGAAGTTACCATAGAATTTTCCCCAAAAATTACGTATTCAGATTACAATGTTAAATTCAAAAGTTCGAATGAATTAAAGCAACATTGCATTAAATAGACTCTCGCGCCCTCTACCGGCCGAACATTATTTCAAGCTAACCCCATAGAGTTATGTCCCTTGGAGCGCTCTCTACGAATATCCTGCGCGCAACTTGTGATTGAAACCAGTTCGGTAAACACCGACAACACCGCGTGCGACCGTTTTCGATTACTGAGCAATTGTTTACATTCCATATATGGCAAGTGTTCTCTTTTTGGAAGCTGTCCGCCTCCAGAAAACGTTGCTTCGAATTATATATTTACTCGAATTATGGTTCTTGATTTATAATGATCAGCGCCTTAGTGAGTGAGTGAGTAAATATGACATTGTCTTTTTTCTACGCTTTGAGCAATATTGCAGGTTGGCACCAGAAATGAGCTTCACACTTTTACCCCCTTGTAATAAATCCCCGGACTTGGTCATGAGGCTTTAAACACAAGGCTACCCCCAACCCTGATCAGCACTATAACAGGTCTCGCGGGTTTCTAATACATGTTTCACTGCAAGCTTTGTCCACATCAATACTGACAGGCCGTAATATAACGTGAATACTGTGAAAACAGGCGTCTAACCGAGCCTACTCACGGCGTGGTATGATGTCTTGCGCATGGAATGTGACAGAAATGTGCAAATAAGCAAACTTTAAGATAATTAGACTAAAATAGGGTCAGTTTTTTACCAAATTAGACCAAAGGTTTTCGTAATATCTAAAATAATGCACTCGGATCAATTAATCGATAAACGCATGCCCCTTTTCGCCGTTTCAGATTATTAAACCCCGGTTAAACACTTTTCATTATTCTTCAACTGGAACATTACTATAATAATTTCCCGTAAAAGGGCGAGATATTGCGGCGCTGCAGGATCCCTCGTGCGTAATATTCCGCCCTCTAGGTCATTAGAGCTCTTAAAACTAAAATGTGTTAATTTTGAATTTCATGATGCTTGACATCCAAAAGCTCAGATATCGATCGTTTATAGAAAAGATTTCGATGGTAGCAGTTGCAGAGAGGATTTGGTGTGAGTGAGTGAGTGAGTTTAGTTTTACGCCGCACTCAGCAATATTCCAGCTATATGGCGGCGGTCTGTAAATACTCAACAGCATGAGCATCGATCTACGCAATTGGGAACCGATGACATGTGTCAACCAAGTCAGCGAGCCTGACCACCCGATCGCGTTAGTTGCGCCTTACGACAAGCATAGGTTACTGAAGATCAATTCTAACCCTGATCTTCACGGGTAAGATAGGTTTTGGAAAGGTTGGGAGGGTTGGCATTTAGAAATTGTGCATTGTGTACATAAAATGTGGGGCAAAGATGTATCATCAACGTGCGATGCCGATCGATGCAGCTGAGGTATTACATACGACGACAACGTCGATGATGATGATAATGATAAAGATGATGGTGATGATGATGATGATGATGATGGTGATGATGATGATGATGATGATGATGACGACGACGACGACGACGATGATGATGATGATGATGATGATGATGATGATGACGATGACGATGGCGATGATGCGCCACGATCCACCCATTATTTCCATTTATATATGGATCAACTTTCACTGGATTTCCTTTCTCAGCTTCCTTGGGGAGAATGCACTTTTGACTGCTCGTTCATATTTGTCAGACATGTAACTCGAAGGCTTTCTTGGACAACAAACATTAAAAC